TGAGTCCGGATACCAGCTCAAAGTCCAGGCATAGCTGAGTTAATCCCGTCAAAGGTTCACATTGAGTGTAAAATGCTGGAGGGCTGCGGTCTGGCCGGGATTACGAGTTCCCAGTGCACACGAACGCCTCGTCACATGTCCAGAAACACTCAAATGCACCACACTGAAGTCTCCGCGGCGGTTTTGGGGAAGAAAAGCTTATTTATAGTGGATTTGTGTTTGAACGCATGACCCTGGATGACTGTGCCTACTACAGTGCAAATGCAAATCAATATTGATTTTGGAAACAGATGAGGATACTTTTACTATAACAGTACTCAAATGACCAAAGAAAAAAGCTAAAGCAAGGGAAAAGTATTCACCAAAATAGTTATAGCAAAATTATACAAAATGAATATAGCTGAGATATTTTTATGACTTATTTTTCTATTTTATTTTGACTTGTACATACAGTATACAATCATCTATTTATGCCTTATTGACACCAGTCTCTTGTTACTTATTTAGAATTTATTATTACCATTTTTATATTTTTTACTCTTTGTTATTATCTTATATTGTGATGTTCGAGCTACTGTGTCCAAGTAATTTCCCATGTAGATCAGTTTGTCTCAGTCTAAGTCTAATCAGATGAGGATATTTTTACTATAATAGAACACAAAGAACCAAAGAAAAAAGCAAAAGGAAAGAAAAAAAAGTATCCACCAGAATAGTCAAAACTATATACAATGAATTTAATGAAGCCTATAGGCTATAAATTACTCCGGAGTAAAAGCTGCACCAGCCAAAAAATGCATAATGAAGAAAAAAATACATATACAAGTTGCACTGGACAATAAGTCGACCTTTTATAAATAATATAACATATATTTTATAAAATCAGAGACCAAGAACCGATATTTCATCTTGAAAGGCAAGTTATAGTAATAACAATAGAACAGAGAACAACAGACTGTTAATGTCACATATGAACAGTTCTTCAAATATCTATAACATAAACAATAGAACAGAACAAGTTTACCAAACTCTCCATCTCACTCCAAATCACTAAATCCATTGAATTCTTCATCCTCGGTGTCACTTATGAGTAACTCTGTGACCTCTGGAGGTAAAAAAAAGCGCCGCTTCCTCTTCTGTGTAGCTGTCGTCAGACTCAGCATCAGTTCCAGTTAGAATTATTTCAGCCTTTCTGAATCCCGACAGGATGGTTTCTGTGTCACTGAAGTCCAGGCTTTGTCGATCCATCCAATGACTTCTAGGAAAGTTGCATGGTGCACCCTCTGGGTTGTCACCAGTTTCTAGCTCACTCCAAACTTTCTTTCTGTTGCTCGATTACAGTTTTCGGCTGCAGATTTCACGACTTGCAGTTTGTAATCTGCAAAACATGATTTTCTTTTTTGGGGCATTTGTGTTCAGTCTTCTCTGTTGTCTTTATAAGTTTGTTTATATTTTAAATGTTCAGTGGTACAGAAGTAATGGTGCGATCGACTGACATGACACAGACAGGACAGTGGCTCTTTCTGCAGGAGACATGCACAGTAGAGCTTGACGTGACAGTGGTACAGGAGTAATAGGAGTTGCAGATACTGGCACACAAGCCTATGACAACTTCCAGTGTAGTTCCCGACATTGGGCTCTCCGACAGACTGTGATCAAACCCACTGAAGTAAATGTGATCAGCGGTAAAATGAAGACTTCATACGTATGTGCTGTTTGGAATCATCTTGAATTTGGAGCCCTTGTCTCTACTAATCGCATAAACTCAGAGCTGTGTGTCAGTGGGGAAATGATGAAAACTGAAGTATGGTTGGAATTGTTGGTTAGCTGAACATAACAGAACTCTACGATGACATATAGATGAAGAAAACTGGGACATTTTCTCATGTTTCCTAGATTTTGACTTACTAGTGTGAAAAGAGCCCACCGGAAGTTGTCACTGAATGTCTTCCTGGTTGCGTGAATAGAGCCTATTAAATTACAGTCATTTTCTTCTATTTATTTTCCAAGATTTTTTTTTCAGTTATTTATAGTCACGTGCTCCAATGCTTTTCCTTATGTAAGCTCTACAGAGAGAGGAAGTGAAGGTTGTCATATTGTCCACAGCTTCCTGATATAATTGCCTAAATCACTGTGTGAACCAGGAAGTGTAGAGTTCAAAGGTCACGGAGAAGCATTTGTAGAACAATATGATCACACAATGTGCTAATTAGAAGTTCTGGAAAGGGCAAAGGGAATAGACAGCCCATGTTTGAGGTTGTACTATACTGTTACTTTGAACTTTTGCTGTATAGTTAAAATCGACAATGCTCATGGATCATTATGTTATAATTTGGACATTTTAACAAACACCTTAATAAAAGAAGGTTTGCTGACTTCCACAACATAGAACAGCTATAGAACATCCGAAGAATAGTTTTAACTTCTTATTTCCATGGAATCATTCAGGTGACCTTCCACCTCCAGAAAACTGTGTACTGTATAATGCATTGTCAGAGGGCAAGGTTGTCTTGGTTACGTAACACAAAAAATATTTGAGATTGTGTTTATACTCAAATGGAGATAAGTTTGTCTGGGTTTTGGACACGCAGTGGGAGGAACATGATTAAAACTCTGTATTATCAGCTGTACAGACAAAATCTACTGATGGATTCTGGGTTTTGGTGTTTTGATATTTTAAGTATTTAAGTTATGATTCACACTGTATATATCATAATCTGGAAATGTCAAGGGCAATAAATATGAAGTAAAAAACACAAAAACACAGTGGACTTCCTTTAGATGGAACAGTGTTTTCAGTTTAAGACAAGAACTTTGGACCCTTTAACAAAATTGCACAACAGTTATGATTAGACTAATAAAAATTAATTACACCTTTATTTCTTTTGGAGGGTCTGTCAAATGCTTTTCTTCTTGGAGATGTTATTGCTGTGTCTGGAATGTTTCACAATATGGCATTTAACCTGTCTAGCTTCATGGAGACCAAGGTACAGGTCAGATCTGTGGAGAGGCGACCCCGCTCACAGTCAGAATGCCTGTTTTTCTAGGTATTTTTGAGCTATAAAACCACCTGTAATTGAATAAAAGTAAGGTAGAGCTGTTTAATACCATACTGTGGAACATTCCAGGCAGAGAAATTACATACCCATAGAAATTACAGACCCCCCACAAGAAAGGTGACACAATGCACCTTTAAATGTAGCTTTAAACTTTCAGAAAAATGTCTTTGTTATTTTGGATAGTTTTCACTGTTGACATAGGTAAAGGTATGCTGTTAGAAGTCTGCATTACTTCCTGTTTTTGTACTTTTCTTCACAAACTGATACTTAACTGATGTAAAACTATGATAAGTATTTGCCACAGGTACAAGTAATAATTAGAAGTACACTGAAAGTGCACTTTAAGAACTGCTTTTTCACCTCTGGTTGAAGTCATACCTACCTCCATGTGATGCTCCGCTGCTTTGATACTGTCACCAGATTCTAAGAACACAATAACATTCTTCACTTATCTAATCTGTTTTTTTGTTTTGTTTTTGTTTTTTCAAATACGGGTCCATTAAAGGAACTGTATGTAAGATTTTAAATTCCACAAACATGAACTTACTCTGTCCCCAGATACAAGATAAAATGTTCAAATCTGATGTAGCTTTAACTGATAAGACTTCAGGACAGTTATCCAAACAGAAAACAGAAGGAGTCTCACAGGAGTCTTTCATTTGGGTTGCCAGGTTCAATGCTGAAACCTAAAATGCCACTTTCTGACCTGAATGGTCACTACGTCAACCCCAGCTCCTGCAGGCAGTCATGAGTCAGTGCTAGTGCAGCCTCTGCAGCTCAGGGAGGGAATTCTGGAGGTTCTGAGCATTCACATGAGGCCTGTGAAAAGTATAGTAGATGAATTATGTGAACACAAACAGGCAGGGACAGATATGGAGAGAATCTGCAGAGAACTTAACCTGTTCAGCAGCGTCATCAAGTGGAGAAACACAACATCAAGCGCCATCTAGTGGAGAAAAACAACATTACAATAACACAACGTTATTTTATTTTATTTTTTCAAATTGATGGTAAGATGGTAAGTGTTTCGCATTAATTTTTTCTCAGACTTACCGGAAGAAAAAAAAAAAAAAAAAAAAAAAAAAAAAAAGCATATTAAATGTTTGAAAGCTCAGCGCTAGCTACGTGGTGGTGCCTGTGACGAATGGCCACAAGAGCTATAATTTTATTTAAAATGTTTCTGAAACTTTACAAACTGGTATGTCATTAAAACATTTATTTACAACGCAAAATTCAGCTATACTTTTTGGACTTAAAAAAATATTAATTATAATATATTATAAGTTAGCGCGTAGCTGGTTAGCCTCAACACTGCTTTTGAACTCTTTAATATTTGAATTTTCTGAAAAGTCTATGAGAAAAATGAATGAAACCGGAGCAGATTTCAAAGTGGACGAGTGTTGATAACTAATTATAACTATTTATATTGTTTAAACATGTCATCATATGTAACTGTAAAGCATTAAAACGTCCATATTACTAACTTCTGATCTATGTTAATGTTTTCTCATTAAAATCATACTTGGAGTTTTGTTTTGTTCCTTTCACACATATTTAACTCATAAATTCTGCATATTTAGGTAGTTTATTTCTTCTCTCAAAAGAAAACACTCTGATCCACCTTGTGTTGTCATGTGATAATACAAGAAGTGTTCACCTATGTTTTTAAACTCCATACACCTTTACCAGAATCATTTGGATCATTTCAGCCCTGGTACTGTCAATGATTACTGAACAAAAGGTTAAAGCAGCTGTTAACTTGAAAACTACCGCTTTATGACATCACAAGGTGGAACACAGCAATCTGAGTTTCAAACGTGTGACTGAAACAAAACACAACTCCAGGTCTGTTTTTGATGAGATAACGACACTTTAACATACCTAACAGCTCACAATAGTCAATTTTATGTAATACGAAACTTTAAACAAAAAAAAACATTTGAATCCATTTCGTTTCACTTTATTGACAATGACAAGTGCACAAACACAAACGTGGTGAATTTCAGTGCTGCTCCCTTCTACACGAGACAAGATCTTATAACCAAACATACAGATCTAGATTTTTACCACAATAACAATGAATACAGTAACATTAAAACTACAACGACTTGAAGACAAGTTCATTTTGATTCAGGTTGACTATAACATGTTGTCCCTTTGGGCTTTAGCTCATTTATTATTAGTGTATTTGTTACGCAGTTTTGTGTGCAGATTTGAAATTAGAAGTGATTTAGTAGAGGGGAAAAAAGCCTAGAAAAGGACGTAAATGTGCACTAGGTAACTTTTCTGGAGCATATGCCACCTGCTTGTTTCCATGGAGATCATATACCTTTGTCTAGAATGCTTCAAAATATAGCATTAAAGCAGTTACATTTGTTTATATTGCAAAAAAATGTTTTAAAAATGCATAATCTTGCTGTGAGCATGGTCGCCTTTCCACAGATCTGAGCTAGCTGAGTTTTCAGACTATCGTGAAACTTTTTTGACAGTGCTAATTTGTGCATTGCAACATCATGATAACTACATGCAGAACAGCCCCAGCATGATTTCACAGGTAAGTATCAATAGTGCGGAACATTTGCTTCTCTTTTACCTGCATGGAGACTAACAGGTAGCGGACTCTGTGCCAGAAAAGTTACATAGTTCACCTTTAATTCATGCCAGGAAAAATTGGAAGCTGCTAAACTTACAGTGGAACATATAAAGATAACATATAATAAAGGAAATGATAATAAATAACTAAATAAAACAAAACATTTCACAATTCACAACACAAAAAGCTCATGATGGTCTTTTTTTGTAAAAGATGAAATCGCAATACTTCATAGTGAGTGTTTTTATAGAACTGATTTATGGACAAAGGCTGTGTTAAGAATTTTAAATAAAGTTTTTTTTTTTTAAAGTGACTTGATTGTAATGGTTTATTCTTCAGATCGTCCTTCAAGGATGCTTTCAAAAGTGAATGGGAGGAACTTGAATCCTTGTCCAGCATAGAACTTTGTCTGAAACTCCACCCTAAAACAGAAATAAAGGGAAAATGTCAACAATACTTACAATATTACATTTAGTTTTTAAATACATCAATATTACAACAAGGTAAGAATTCATCTTAAAATGTTGTACACAATTTTGTATAAATCAGTGTTATTTTTGGATCACACTCAAAAACAGGCCACAGGTACTTGGACCTGGTTTGGACTGGATTTGCTGAATTTGTAATGTTTCCTTTTAAAACGCAAACACAAATTATTACTTTTAAGATCTGTTTAATTTTTCTTTTAATTTTTTATTCTGTCCATTTATTTACTTATTTGTGCATTTACTTATTTATTTATGAACCAATTGTAGTTTGCAAACCAACAACTACAAAATTCAGGAAGCTCAAGTTCACAGCAAAAGTGTCAAGTTAAAAGTGAAGTAACAGGAGCCAGTGACCTCTGCTCTCCATTCCTCCTGTCTCTCTAACATAGTGACAGACCACACATGCAGTCTCTGTCTGGTCCTCATCTTGGACCTGGTTTAGGCCTGGTTTCGATCTGCTTTGGACCTGGTTTAGAACTGACTCGGGCCTGGTTTAGACTTAGTTTAGACTTTGTTTAGACCTGGTTTGAACCAGCTTTAGACCTGGTTTGAACCAGCTTTAGACCTGGTTTGAGCCTGTCTGCTCCATTAAAAGAGACAGTTCTATTTTTAAAAGCTCAGTACTATGTGATGACTGGATGACCTTTTAAAAGAACCTCCACAAAATACGTCATCCTACTGTAAATCCCCTAGAGGGCGCTATTAGCTCAAAGTCCTTCTTGTGCTCATCTAAAACACCAACACATAAAGCTGTGTAGAGTAGCAAAATATTGTATTCATCTCAAGAACGGTTCCTTTAAAATACGACTTCTCAAGTGGAGTGTACAAGAGATGCACACGTTCAAATTCACTTAATAGGTTAACCGGCTGCTTTATCAGGCAATTATCAGTTAACTTTTTCTACCACATTATAAAAAATTTTCAGCAATAATTACAGGCCATCTGGCTTTGGGAACTAAAAGCCAAATTACTGACTGGAGTACCATATTTGGTAAGTTCTTAGTTCTTAATGTATCTTTTTCATATATCTTACAAAATGATTATTGGATAAAATAATGGATTAAAAATATAATAACAATCAAAATACAAATTTGGACAATACTGTATAGACTAAACAAAATAAACATGGACCAAATGAAATGAAGCTTAAAGGTCCTATATTACACAAAATGAGTCTTGCGAGCTTTTGAGAATGCTGTTTTCCCATCAAATACTTACCTGAAGTTGTGTTTTGTTTCGTTCACATATGTTTGAGTAATCCTGTATTATTAGTCGGTCTCTGTCTCCAAAGATTAAAATGCTCTGTTCCTCCTTGTGATGCCAAGAAATAGTAGTTTTCAACTAAATAGCCACTCAGTTAATGAACCAAAACACAACTCCAGGTATGTTTTTGAGGAGGTAACAACATTATAACATGGCTTAAAGCTCACAAGAGTCCACTGTGTGAAATATCAGACCTTTCAACTATAGGGATCATAGAATGTTTTGATGTCACGTGAACCCAGCCTATTCCACAAAGTTGCATGTGAAGGTCACATGTTTTTTCACTCCACTATAACAAATCAAACACCACCTGCTTTAAAAATAACCCTGTGTAAGTGAGACGACTGTCCCTGTGGTGGATTCACTAAATGATGAGTCATGGGCTCTCTCATAAACAGGACGGATATAGAGCGCAACACGGCTGACATTTCACCAAAGACAACAATGATAACCACAGAACAAAAGAGTCCCAGACCAGAAGTAAACCAGGACCAAGGACCAAGGCCTGAGGTCTTACGCCAGGAAATACTCACCGCTGTTGGGCCATCTGTTATGTCTGCCTGTATTATGTATCATTAAAGCCCTTTTTAATTTGAGCCCTGTTATGCTTTTAAAATAGTCCAGGACACATTCGTATTCATATTGACACAACAGAGTACAACTATAAATATAAGATGAGGTTTTTCTGATGATTTCACTTTCAATGAGAATGCTTAGATTACATGTCTGTTGTTCTGGGCTGGTGAAAATGGTGAATGGAGTTTGTTGAAATGAAGTAACAATCGATCTATGAGCAGCCTGATGCAGAATGATGAGAGTCTTAGAGAGAAGGAGGAGTTCTTCAGGTTGATTTCACACAGTCACCAGTTCAGTCGATGTAAAATGGGTGCCGTCTGAATAAGACACAATAATAAAACAGCAGAAGTGTCTCGACTCACCAGTGCAGTCTGAGCGCGTGCAGGAAAGCAGACAGGCCCTCCATGATGAGCAGAATGGCCACAGTGAGAATAGAGAAGAAGACGAAAATGATGGACAGTAGAATAAAACCTCCAAAACTTCTGCTGGAGAGACCTATTCTCATCACCATGGACCAGAGCACCTCGGAAAGCTCTGAAAACACAGGCATGATATGAATAAGGATAATATTCTGCCTGGAATGTTCCACAGTGTGACAATAAACAGCTCTACCCTACATTTATTCAATTGCAAGTGGTTTAAAAAGCTCAAAAGTAGCCTGGAAAACAGTCATTCTGACTGTGAGCAGGGTTGCCTCTCCACAGATCTAACATCTAACTTGGTCTGGTTTGATCTCCATGAAGATAGAAAGGTTTAATGCCATACTGTGAAACATTCCAGAAAAAACAATAATAGAGAAATAGAGAAAAGTATTTGATGGGCCCTCCACCAGAAAAGCTACACAATGGACCTTAAATTTGAAAAATAGAAAAGAACACGAAAGGAAAAACAGCTTATTCTATTTATTTAGGGTCCGAGTAATGTGAACTAATAATTATCAATGACCAATTGTAAACCCTGGTAGTTTTCCTTACGTGCATGTGCGAGGCTGAGGGCCCAGAGTCTCAGGTAGGACGCAGTGTTGGAGATACAGCCCAGACAGTACTCTATGGTGTGAATGGCGTTGTGCACGGCCTCATCAGCAAAGTTAAACTGAAAAACAACACAAAAAAAATACAAAAAAACGAATATTATAATTTAAGGTTACATGGGTTTGCAAAGAAGAAATTTCACTACGAATCCACCGCTAATGAATTACACCGTTTCATATATTTGAGATGTTCCCACCTTTTCCACCGACACCAAATACATGAAGAGATGAAGAGCCCATGACATGAAAAGCTTACACTCACTAGTCAATTTATTAGAGACATTTTATATCATTTTTGGATTTTAAACATTTACCAAAATCCTTTTTATGGCTGAGTTTTTGAGGCATTACTAGTATGTTGAGACAATGTGAATAATTTTTTTAAGTTTTGAACGGTTAGCAGAGAGTGCACTTTGCTGCAGAGAAGCACTTAAGGCCTTGCTTTATGTGGAATAAGGGAATTAGATTGTCAAAAGTATCAAAAATCAGATTTACACAAGAAGAGACGAGATACAACTGGGTTCATGAGAATGAGACACCATGAGAATTTAAACATAATTCCTAATTTATACATTTCATGGTTCAGTTTCTAATTTTGGCCTCACGAATTTTTATTTATTATAGAAAAATCATATTTTTATAGGATTTCATATTTTTGTTTACATTCTAGTACTGCTTTTAAAAGTGTAAGAGATGTAACTCACCAACATGTAGCCCTTTTTTGTCCAATCCAAATGTAAACACCTGGATAAAAATCTCACAAGATAATTTTTGTGCACAATCTTGTGACAATTTTGTCTTGAAAGATCTTTTGGCATGAGATCTTGTACCATCCCTATTAATTAATAATGAGACTAGTATCAAAACTAGACACTCATTTAAGCAGGTACTAAAAGTCATATTATGGAATCTGCTATTTCAGTTGATTGTGTTTTGATTACCGTCGTGGTTTTTGGACCTAAGTTTTCTCAATACTAACAAACTGAAGAACTGTAAATTCATATTTATCTAATATTAGCATTTACCACTCAATTTTAGCTAATAATGTGATGATAAAAATGGTAACAGAGTGTTGAATTATAAACTTAAAACTTTATTTTTAACATTACATTATTAGTTAAAGCCATAGTATGTAACTTTCTTGCCAAATGTTTGTTTTGATTACACTAAAAAAACCTGAAGAACAAAAACTTGCATCTCCACAAACCTGACTCATCCATGCAGTTTTTTTTTAAGGAAATAAGTGTTCATTTTCTGTGCCTACACTAATATCAGTTCATATTGAATATCGCTAGACACTTAAATTCAAAGTATTGATATCAGCAAGTATCGGTATTGGAGCTGGATAGGTGCATCCCTAACTATTACTGTACATATTAAACCAATATATTGACTTTATATTGATATTAGATTAGATTTCTAGTCCAATAACAGGGACAAATGTCTCTAATGAAGAAACTAGTGAGTGTACGATACCACCTTCTATCACCGTAAAGGCAAACTGCTAATTATACCATACCACCATACCATACACCACTATAATGAAGACAGATTTGACACATGCACTTGGACACGACAGTATAGAGGAAGAGGAGAGACAGAGAGAGAGAGGGAACAGAGAAGAGAGAAGGATGGGTTTTACCTCTTCTTCCTCGCGGGCCTTGAAAGCAGGCGACAAAAGGGATTGCTTGGTTATTTAGACACACACAAACAGCAGAACCGAGAAATGAAACAAGGTGGAAGAATACAAGTTATAAACGGGACAATACTAGTTAACTGCAAAAAAATTAGAATATTAAGAAAAAAGTCAGATTTTTTTGTCACTCAATTCAGAAAGGCAAACCCATATGTTATAGACTCCTGACTAGGGATGAAACAATGAACAATAGACAATAATCGTTTGTGGAACATTTTACATAACTGTGATAATCGCCAACAAAAGATAATCTCCATAAATCACCAGAATGTGCAGAAGAAAGCTACTTATCCATGATGTGTTTTTCTAGATCACTGTTGTTGTCACTTTCACTAACAAAAGTACAACACTACAAAAGCCAACACACACCATTTGCTACGCGTCGAACCCATGAGTCAACACACACTGAACTCCGTGTGTCATGGCTCTTAAAAAGGCTTTAATATAACTCTTGTTGTGTTATAAATTATTGTTTTATCTGCAGGTTACTGATAAAATAAGAGACACAGTGCGAGGCTGTGAAAGGAGAGGAAAGTCGCCGGTTTGAGGAGGTTATAGTGAGTTTAGTGAGAGACGAGAGTTTCCTCACAAGGAGAGAAGACGGAGAGGAGCTGGAGCTTTTTTCACCAGGGAGGGATTTCTCTGGCTCTGCTGCAGCTCTGAGCTTCTCCTCAAAGTTTACAGCTCCTTTTGTCGGTCACCGAGCAGAGACATGCCTGTATTCACCACAGAAGTGCAAAATGTGGTTTCAGATGCGGCCGGTGTGTGTTGGCCCATAGAAAATAATGGAGGGAGTAATTTTGCCAAAGTGTCCCGGTGTGCGTTGGCCTTAACAGTTGTTTAAATATGAAAGCTATTCATAACATTTAAATAATCATTATTCGCATCCATAACATTTTTAAACTGTAACAACAGTCATAATTATCCTGATACAATCGTTAATCACAATTACCTTGGCCATGATTATCTTTCCCATGCCAACTCATGACACAGAGTGAAATAACTGAAGAGTCTACAGATAATGAAAAAACAAAATTAAGTGTCTCAGAAAATTAGAATATCGTGAAAAAGTTCAGTATTACAAAGTCATAGTGTCGCACATTAAGCAGCGAATACACTGAAAACACTAGCAAAGATTTCCTGAGCCTTAAAAAAACTAAAATAAAAATTTAAGAAATAAACTCTCAAAATATTTCACTCTGTGTCATGAGTCTATATAATATATGGGTTTAACTTTTGTGAAATGAGTGACAAAATATATTGAACTTTTTCATGATATTCTAAGTTTTTGCAATGGACTAGTGCACAGCCTCGCTCAGGGTTAGTATTGCACAGCACAGCATCACATGGGAAATAACATTATCATGACACTATAGAAGATAAGCTCTGCAATCTGGAAAGGAACAAAGGTACATTTTTATGCATAATATACTGCCTAAGAAAATGTAGATGATAAATTTTAATATTGGAAGAGAATGCCACTGACACCAATACAGGTTTATGCTCCCCAAAAATATTATAAATGTACAATATCATCAATAAAATAAACAAGAGAATAAACAAATAAGCCAACACTTCAGAAACTGTACTTTGCATCTATAATAATGAGTAAAAAAAGTTATGTATTCAACTCTTCAGCTAATATCTTACTGTAGTTCCCTGTTACTACAAATTAAAAGTATCCACAATAAATATTTACCTACCACATTTCTTTTTTTTTTTTTGCACAACTAATGCCATGCTGCCCTTTTTAATAAATTTTTTTTATATAATTAATTAATTTTTTATACAGTACAAACTAAATCTTGCAAATATGAATAAACTGTTACAATATGCAATGTACAACCAAATAAAATGCAAATAAATGACATAGTGTTACATTTGAAATATGAGACACTGAAAAAACTAAGGAGGTAGAGAAAACTTATAATTAGACTGAAACTTGAGTCGTGGGTTTTAGTTTCCACTTGGGGACAGGTGAGTTATTTATTTAAAAGGTAAGAGCGGATCAGATATCTCTCAGACCTCCTCCATGTTCGTTAGCAGCTTGTTCTTGTAAAAGGCCTTGTAGCAAACACAGATAAAGACACAGGTAAGTATATTTGTACATGTTTTACCTCTGGTTCGTCTTCAGACTGCTGAGCGAGCTGGTCGTGTTGGATGATCTCTGCTTCATCCTCCGTCGGACCGTTACCGACCCTGACCCCTCCGAAGCTCTGAGTGCCCTGACGATCGTGAACAAAAACAAGAAATAAATAAACAATTTCTATCTAAGAGGTTTCATCTGGATTACATCATATTTTGACTCTAAATTCAAGCCTGTAGGATGTTGAGTTGTGGTCTTAGTCAATGCATCAAGGTCAGTAATAAACTGTGTTTCTTTAAAGGTCTTATATTACACAAAATTTTTGTTACCTCCTCAAAAACATAACTGGAGTTGTGTTTTGTTGCATTCATACATTTGAGTAATCATGCATTATTTTGTCTGTCTTCACCTCCAAAGCTCAAAATGCTCTGTTCTACCTTGTGATGTCATGAAGCTTTAGTTTTCAAGTTAACAGATCCTTTTATCTTTAGTTCAGTACAGACTGACAATTCCAGGGCTGAAATGATCATCCAAATTATACTAGTGAAAGTGTATGGAGTGGAGCACTTCCGGTATTACCAAATGGCACCACAAAATGGAGTGTTTTTAGTTTAAGAGAAGTACAGGATGTGTGTGTTGATGAATAGATGTGTGAATGAAAATGAAACAAAACCCAACTCAGGTATGTTTTAATGAGAAAACAAGAAGATTATAACATAGATCAGCATATATAGACCCTTAAAGATTTCATTCCAATCAACAATTACTTTATTTTTTTAATCGTATTATTTATTTTTATTTTTTTCACATATCACACAGGTCTTACCAGATGTTTGCGCCACATGTGTTGTCTCCGTAGAACCAGAGTTTTCACTATTAACATAAAGGGAACACACGCCAACGCAATGATCACCAAGAAGGACTGCAGAACAGGCTGGGAAGAAAAAACACATTTAACATAGAATTATTACATCTAATTGCATAAAGATAATAGGGGTGTGCAAAAATATTGAAATGTCGATATATCGTCACACTGAATTTGGTGATACAGTATTGTTATTGTAAGCTGTTGAATCGATATATTGGCAGGAGTATTTTTGTTATCTTTTAGTAATTTTTGATGAGGAAACAACATTTTAACATAGTGTAATCTCCTGTCTTACCTGCCCCGTGTAGAGCGGTTTGCTGTTGGGGTCACGGTAGCTGAACAGAAACATGTTGATGAAGGCGATGAGGAGACTGGGGGCTTCTCTGGAGGTACGAGCGCTGTACGACACCCACTTATAGAAGATGATAATGACCAGGTATCCAAAAAGACTCGCCATGAAAACGATCTCTGGGATGAAACCCAAGTAGATTTTTATGGGCTTCTGGAAATAACTGAAAATTAACACAAAAACAATATTATATAACTGAAAACATAATAAATATTGCTAAAGCTGAATAATATAGAGAATACATGACACAATGTAAGTTGTTGTGTGAGTAGGGGTTGTAACTGTGTTTAATGTTATGCTCTTATTGAAAATATGCATTATTAATGTGTGTCTGTTATCAATTTGAGAAGCTTTGGTGCTTGTTTTAGATATATTTTTTTTTTATTTGTATTTGCAAATGAAGCAATGGCATTACAGAGATGGCAACACTCCGCACTGGACTCTATGAACTCATCGTGGTGAATAATTAGGATGCTTGAATTTCATAAGTTAAGTGAGGAATAACATTGGAACACTGCGACAATGTTTTTTGCATTTCTTTAAAATAGCAAAAATCCGGTACAGCACCTTTACCTAGTTGATTTCACCATGTGCAGCACTGAAAACAGCTTTTGTGTTTGATTGGATAAAACACTGTATACCCAGAATAGTATGGTATATATCTTACAGGTGGTTGAAGAGGCCGAGGCTGACTCCAAACAGCATATGGATGACTCCCAGGATCACAGACATCTTCATTTTAAAAGAGTTCAGGAACGACAGTTTATTTGAGGCAATGTTCCAGATCTACAACACAGAACGAAGAGTGATTAGTACAGAGAGGCCAATATAATAGACTGATATTTGCCCTTTTTTAGCGTATTGGGTATCGGCCTTATATCTCCAGCACAGACCAATATTTGGTTTTGGTCGATCTGCTGATTAAAGAATACACATAAAGCTTTATATGAACATGCAAGTGTGAAAAGATAACAGCACAAAACATGATTAGACAACTCTCTTATAGGTTTACAGTAAATAGGGCTGTTGGCATGTTTGCAGTAAATTTAAATAACAGAATTGGGGAAAATAATCCAAATCTGCCCTACATATCGTCTCAAAAATTTTGTCAGATCATATGAGCCCATCAGCTGCTCTGGATTCTAAACAATCAGCATCAGCCAGGAAAAAACACCTATCAAAATGATGAAAAGTTATGACTGTCACCATAGCAATTGATGACTCAAAACAAAATATTATATATTTGAATGGTCAACTGTCCTTAAAATGGCACCATGTCATAGGAAGCTCAAACCATTAATAAAAGAGACTGGGATTGTGTTGTCAATTTCAAAACATATTCCAAATTAGCCTAACAGTAAACCAGTGGAGCTTTTGAAATGTAAAATTTTCAACTTTTGACTTTTATCATTACCACACAAATAATCTCTGGTATTTCCGATAACCTTTGTTCAATTCAGTACAATTCAATGAAGTACTCACAGGATCGATCCCAATGGGATAAGGTCCTTTGAAAACTCCGTCTATGGCAGGGTCCAACTGCAAAATCCTGCTGCCATTCAAAGTGGCAAAGCTACAATGGGATAATGTGAGTTAGATCTCTGCCGTTATAAAAGCAAGCTGCATTTAAGCTTTATGATTGTGGAAAACGCATATTAAAAATGGGCCAAAAATGATTTATGTCAAAGGCTTACCTGTATATTTTGTATTATTTATAAAGAATATTATTGTTGTTATAAAAGTCATTGCAGGTTTTACAAGCGGCATTTCTCCAAGTGTTGTAAATAAGTGTAACAAAAATAAATAAAAATTGTTTTATACCTTACTGTTCAAATAAACTTTCATTCATTCATATCATTCAGAGCAGAATTGAATTTTAACTTTGTTTTACCAAATTTTTGACATATTTTTTGTAATCATGGTTTAAAGCTGATATAATTTTAAAGCTGTTTTCACTCACGTCCAGTTTCCTCCGACTCTGGGGTCAAACATGGGCCGGACGCTCCAGCCAGATCCAAACAGGTTTATAGATTTGGAGAAGCAGTCGTTGTAAATAATTCCAGTGTAGATGGAGAAGATTCCCATGAGGAGGATAATGTATCTCCCCGCAAACACCATACTGAACATCTGTCCAGGACAAGAGAAAACATTCATTATTTTTATTTAATTTGGTCCTGAGTTTTGCCTGTCTTGTCTTTTCTGAGTTTGTTTGCGTTATGATAAAAGCAAATTTGAAGACAATAAAGGCAAAAGTTCATAGGTTAAATAAACATAAGTGACAAAGTTTTTCACAGTAGCTTCAGTGGTGCCATTATTCAACCCTAAATAATAATCATAAGATTCAACATTTGTGGATGAAATAACTTTCCTGGGTGGCTTCACATTTTAGAATTTGATTACGTCCAAATTTTCAGATGGAGAATGGCGGCAATATTATTTTATGTGAGAGTCAAAATCATATTAAACTTCATCATTTTTTGTCAAGAATACACACAACCACCATATTAAACTGGTGGCTTAAGTTATTTGATTTTGATTTGCCAATATTGTCTGATTGAATAACAGCACAAAATTATTGCTAGAAATGGGACAGCATCCCGTGTCAGATCTCATGAGACAAAAATTCCTCAAGACTGTGTGAGAAGCTGTAGTTCCAAAAAGCACTGATAGAATAACAGAAATAGATACAAAATAGAATAACAAAAATATTAAACGAAGTAAATACAAATTCTGAAGCCAATGTTGGGAACTAAATCAGACTATTTTCGTCTTAGAAATTATGTTAAAAATCTCATCTTGTCTCATTCTCATGGACCCAATCTTGTGTCTTGTCTCCTCTTGTGGAAATTGAGTCTCGTCCCACCCCTAATTATTATGCTATTGTGAAAAAAACTGCAAATTTGTTCTTAAAGAGTAGACAGTCAATGATTTGTCAGCTTATAGGCCCAATAATGTCAGGGATATTAACATAAAACATAGCATTCTTTTTAGTGACTGCACAGTGAAAGATATTGATCCAGACTCCAACATATTTAAAAAAGCATCAAAGATCTAAACAGGTGTAAACAGGTGGAGTGTGTATGGGATGGTTGATGTGGCGCCCCCTGTGGTGTCTCTACCTCATTGTCGTTCTTCTGTGCTATGAGCCTGGTCTCTCTCAGCACCAGATACAAAGCAGCACATGTCATGAGAATCCCATGACCCAGGTCTCCGAACATGACGGCGAACAGAAACGGGAATGTGATGATGGTGTATGGAGCTGGAGACAACATGAGGAGCAATGATTTAACAGAGAGGGGACCACAGACAGCGGATAATACAACACTGGGTTTCCATAGGTTTCATATGGTACAAATAATAGAGTGTAGTATGTTAACAGTGCAATATGTAACTTTTCTTGTTGGGGGTTCTTGGAGATGTTATTGATTAGCCTGGAAAGCTTCAAAAATATGGTATTATACTCATTCATCTTCAGAGGGACAAGTATGTGATGCAACCAAGCCAAGGTAGAAAGGCCACTCTGTTTACAGTAAGAGTCTATGTTCTTCAAGATATTTTTTAGCAAATAATAAATGCAAGATAGACGTATAATGCCATACTGTTAAAAAAGTCCAGGCAAAGCAATATAACAGCAGGAAAAGCAGGTCCTCCATAGTGGACCTTTACTAGAAAAGTTACATAGTGCTCCTTTAAGTGACTCAATTTAGCAATACTGAACTTTTTATACGTTTAAATTGGAAAAATACTGCAAAATACATAGCCGTTTGTAATTTGAGAATTTCTATTACCAAATTACCAAGAATCACAATTTTGGCATTTTAACAAATTTTGATTCAACTGAATTTATCCTTAATTTTGTCTATTTACGACATAGAGCGCTATAGTGATTCTTTGATCAAAAACATTTGGTTTATATAGCAGATATTTGGTATAAGATTTTAAACCTATATACATACACCAGCTGTTTAAATAGGTGAAAATGCGCTGTGCGGGTTGAAAGAGTAATGAATTATCAGTAATAAAATAAATATTATATGGAAACCCAGTTTCATAATAAACAAACATAAACAAAAGTGTCCAAACACACTGACAATGCTGATGAAATGGGCCTAAATCCTTGTCTCACCTGTTTAAACACAGGCCTTTGTTATATTTAGAAAATTAATATAGGTCTTTGTTGACATATTGAACATAATGGAGAATGAGCAGCTGGTACCTGGGTTTATCTCCCTGTAGCTGCTGATCCCGTACGCATCCACGATGTTCTGAAAGCCCGAAGTGAACTTGTTTGTTTTGTTGTAAGTGGGCGGAGTCTGCTTCGTCTGCATCCGATTCAAGATGGAGGGCACCGTAGAGCCACTTTTCTCCTAAAAATAACAAACAATATGAAATAAGAATGACAGTTTGTTTATTTCTGGTCGATCCCATATTCCACCATTTTCTGATTTATGATATAAATGTAGTTTCCTCATTAAAAACATGTCTGAAGTTTTGGTTTGTTCCATCCTCACATGTTTTAGCAAACAAACCCTGCATATTTAGTCTATCAAACAGAAAATACTCTGTTCAACCTTGTTGTGGTAATACAGGAAGACTCCACTGCGTTTTTAAACTCCATACATCTTTAACAGAATCGTTTGGACAATTTCAGCCCTGGAATTGCCAATCTCTACTTAACTAAAAGGTAAAGGATAAACGTTAACTTGAAAACTACCACTTCATGACATCACAAGATGGAATGGACCATTTGGAGCTTTAGAGATATAGACATACTAATAATAAAGGATTACTCAAACATGTGTGAATGAAACAAAACACAACTTCAGGTGTGTTTTTTTGATGTGGTAACAAGATTATAACATGGCTTAAAGCTCATAAATTAATTTTGTGTCATATAGGACCTTTAAGAACTTTTCCCCATAGAATAACCATGAAATCACACATTTTACCCATACTGGACACTGGTCAACAAGATTTCATGGCATATAATGTACCAAACACAAATATGCAGACATGAAGAATATAGGTCAGTCATAGAAGCTGTGTACTACTACTACTACGCACTTTTTGTCTTTTCATTTCTTGTAGCTCCAACTAATATTAACATAAAGGCAAAAAAATCTTCAAAATTCACCATTATTTTGACTTCATCTTATGCTACAGACTATAACCTGAAACTACTATGAAGAGCACTATTAAAGCCTATAGCTCCTTCATTATTGAGCCTGTCCCTCCCGGTGATACGATACTGACCGTGCCTCTGCGCAGGGCGAATTGTATAGAGTCCAGATCAGACACAGGACACCACACCTCCGCGATGAGGCACTTCTGGGTCACATCGATGTTGCACAGGTTCAGCGTGTGGTAAATGGCCTTCATCTTCCTCACTTTAATGAACCACACGCGGATAGTTTTAGCGGCGGCCTGAAGGACGCGCTGTCTGTGGTCCTCCGTTTGGTTCAACACCTGCAGGAAGAAACAGGAGAATGAAGAGATGGATAGAGAGATAAACTAGTACTACAGAGCTCTACCTCTAACTGTAAATTATCCTTTCAAATGTAGTGAATGCGTGAGATTGCCAGATACTGCTCTAGTACAATCAACATTATTCTTATATGAAAGTGATTAGACAAAATCTGGAAGTATAGATGCAAAATATTAAGGTGTGCTGTGTCACTTTTCTGGTGGGGAGATCCTATTGCCTTACAGCTGCACATTAAACATAACCATCTCCAGGGAGACAAGGTCAAATTAGGTCAGATCAGTGGAAAGGAAAACTCACGCAAAGTAAATATACATATTTTAGGCAGTTATTGTAATAAAACCATCTACAAAAGAATAAATGCAAGATGAATGCCTTATTCTGAACATTACAGACAAAGCCTAACATCTCCATGGAGACAAGAATGTGACAGAGAGCTCACTAAACCTTACACGGTGCACCTTTAAGTCAGGATGCATTTGTGTGAAAGGTTACTAGCATTTAGTTTCCATTAACAAGCTTTTCTCATTGGTCATTATTATCAGGATACGGTTTCACTTTTAGAAAACAAAGCCCGTGTAGTAATCTTGCTAATGAGCATATCTCGTATACATAAATGTCAAGAGTATATTTTTAGTGCCACTCGTCTCTTCGTGTGTGAGAACAGTTGTCGTAGGTTTATGGCACTGGTCCATTTAATGTATTAGCTTCTCTCTGTGGACACTGGGTATGTTCACAGTATGACTCACATTTTATGCTTAGTCCCATGATCTCCTATGCACAGCTGTGAATGGCTCAATGCTGAAACACTTACTACAGACTCCAGTCCACATCAACGCATTCTTTCTCACCAGAGCTATTCCTCGACTCAGCTAACGCGCCAAGTCCTGTGCTAATACTACACTGACCTAGTATTGGATTTCCAGGTTGTCCAAAAACAAGCCAATATTCAAAATTTTGGTGGATCAGATATTGGCTTCTAAGATAATGCTTCAGCCAAGATCCCATTTAGGTCAATAAACTACTTGATGCTACTTGAATCATATACAAGTTCATACCTTTTTTGCTGACAATGCTCCACAGAATAGCATCAAACTTATATATCTTGCATTTCTTTCTTCACACATGTTTTATTGCTAAAAATACCTTGGAAAAATGGTTGCCTTTCACAGATCTGACCTGTAACTCTGCTTGATGACGTTACCAGAACTGACTGTGGACATAAGTTTAATGCCATACTGTGGAACGTTCCAGACAAAGCATAACATCTCCACGGAGAAACACAGATGGCAGACTATCCATCAGAAAAGTGACATGATGCACCTTTAACATGTTGTTGGAGTTGTGTTTGTTTCATTCACATATGTTTGAATAACCCTTCAAATTAGTCTGCCTACATCTCCACACCTAAAAATGCTCTGCTCCACCTTGTGATGTAATGAAGAGGTAGTTTTCATGTTAATGTCTGCCTTTTGTTTAGTAGAGATTTGCAATTCCAGGGCTGAAATCATCCACATAATTCTAGTGAAAGTGTACAGACTTTAAAGGCACAGTGGAGCACTTCCTGTATTACCACATGACATCACAAGGCGGAACAGAGTGTTTTCAGATTCAGAGAAGAACTCAGCCTAAATATGCAGGGTTTGTGCGTTAAATATGTGTGAATGAAACAAAACACAACTCCAGGTCAGTTTGTGATGAGGAAACAACTTTATAACATTGATCAGAAAATAGTGTAATATGGGCCCTTTAAATCTCTTGTTGATCCACAGTCAGGAGTAGGGTTTTGTGGTCAGACAGGTTGTGCGAGTAGATTATATGTAAGCAGAGCCTGTTTCTGTGTTTACCATCTGAAGATCGTCAATGCGAGCGTTCACTCCAGCCAACATCTCCTTCCTCTCCTGAGGGGTTTCTGGACATGGGTACAGCGTTGCTCTAAACCTGAATAGCAAAAACAGGGCAAAAAGGAAACATATTTATTAGTATTAGTCTACCAAATGTAATAATTCTACATGTTTAAAGGTCCTATATTGCACAAAACTGACAAAACTGAGCTTAAGTCATGTTATAATTAGTGCTGTCATGCGATTGAAAAAATTGAGAGATGAATTAATTATGATCTGTAATTAATTAATCTAATTAATCTCATTTTAATCTCACTTAAAAATTGCTGAGAAAAGCCTTCAATTTGAGGTATTTTCATTTAAATTCATTATTACATTATTGTGGCAGATCAAAAGAAGTGACTTTATAAATCATTTATTGTTTAACAAATCTCTCCAAATTGGCTGTTGAGCCCAAGTCTCCATGAATAAGAAACTGTTTGCTGTAAAGCAGCAAAGACGAGGAAATCTGAACATAATAACTTTTGTCTACTTAAAGACAATAAAAAGTCCAGTCTTTCCTTAACCATATTAAAAATATTATTGATAGAGAAATGTTTTATATATGAAATCACTGGTTTTAGTCCTTGTTTTAGTCCTGGTTTAGACCTGCTTTAGTCCTAGTTTAGTCCTGGAATGGATTAATCCTGTTTTAGTCCTGGTGTTTGGTCTGGTTTAGTCCTGGTTTAGTCCTGGTTTAGACCTGGTTTAGACCTGGTTTAGACCTGGTTTTAGTTCTGGTTTTAGTTCTGGTTTAGTCCTGGTTTATTCCTGGTTTAGACCTGGTTTAGACCTGGTTTAGACCTGGTTTTAATTCTGGTTTTAGTACTGGTTTAGTACTGGTTTAGTCCTGGTTTAGTCCTGGTTTAGTCCTGGTTTAGTCCTGGTTTAGACCTGGTTTAGACCTGGTTTAGACCTGGTTTTAGTTCTGGTTTTAGTTCTGGTTTTAGTTCTGGTTTTAGTCCTGGTTTAGTCCTGGACTGGTTTAGTCCTGGTTTAGTCCTGGACTGGATTAGTCCTGGTTTTAGTCTTGGTGTTAGTTCTGGTTTAGAGGCGCACAGGAGGAAGCGCGGTTTACGCCGCGTACGCGAGAAAACACGATCCACACGCGGCGCACGGGAGCACGTCGGTGTCCGCGCAGTAACTACGGAAGGAAACGTGGTCCGTGCGTTCTCAGGTTGATGACGATGATGAAGGTGTGTGTTTGTGTTTGTGTGTGTGTTTGTGTGTGTTTGTGTGCGTGTCCCCTCATGTGGCAGGTCACTATAGGACAGTAGTGCAGACATCATGAGCCGATGCAGGTTGTTTTCACCAGTGACATTTAAGTTGTAGGCGATTTTATATTTGTTATTTTCTTTTATATTTCACGTCGGGAGAAGAATTTCCAAGACACGAATGTGTTTTTACCTGTGCACTGCTGACTCTGTTCTACTGGCTCTTCCACCTCGTCCATTGTGCGACTGACGCCGCCAGCGTTAACATGACGTTTACGTCGCTCTTACTGCGCGCGTTTTGTGTGGGTTTCCGGCAATGAGTGGAATTACCGAAATAAAAAAAATTATAAATATGTTTTTGTGTGTGTGTGTGTGTTGTTGTCCCAACAACACATAAAAACAGGTTTTATAATAAAGCAACTCGCATACAGAAACAGTAAAATTAGAGATTAAAAATGAGATTAACGCGATTAAAAAACATAACGCGCTAAATATGACTGTAATTAATTAATCGCAATTAACGCGATAATTTGACACCCCTAGTTATAATGTTACTTCATCAAAAATATAACCGGAGTTGTGTTTTGTTTCATTCACACATGTTTGAGTGATCCTGCGTTATTAGTCCATCTATGTGTCCAAAGCTCAAAATGCTCTGTTCTACCTTGTGATGTTATGTAGTGGTAGTTTTCAAGTTAAGAGCTACCTTTAACTTTTTGTTTAGTAGAGATTCTGTAATTTCAGCTCTGAAACTGCCAAATTATCCTAGTGAAGATGTATGGAGTTTAAAAAGTGGAGCACTTTCTGTATTACAACATGACATCACAAGGTGGAACAGAGACTGAGAGAAGAACTCAGCCTAAATATGCAGGGTTTGTCTGTTTGCATGTGTGAATGAATCAAAACGCAACTCCAGATGTTTGTGATGAGGAAACAACATAGATCAGATAACAGTGTAATATGGGCTCTGTTACATGTTTACAGTATGTTTGCATTAATGATTTGTTTAAAGGTGTGCAATGTAACTTTTCTGGAGGAGGGTTTGCTGCTTTTTTGCCTCCATGGAGAGATTACTGCTTTGCCTGGAATGTTGTACAATACTGCATTTAATGTATAAATCGCTACGAAGACAAATCAAGTCAAGTCATAGGTCAGATGAACAAGAAAACATGTAAGATAGACAGGACCATACTGTGGCTTATTTCAAAGAAAGTAATAATATCTCCACAGAGACAAAAAGCTGTCTGTGTTGTATGACAAATGTTACATAGTGCACCTTAAAAGTTAATGTATTATTAAAATGCATCTGTCTCGTCTCTCACCCTTCACAGATTTTCTTGACTCTGTTTTTCAGCTGGTCTCCCTGGAAGAAAATGATGAAAACAGACTTGTGGACTTGGTCGCTCTGTGGAAAATAACAACATGATATTAACATTTTATTTTACTTATGATAAAATATGAAATTTTTCAGCATGGTGGTACTGACTGTAGTGGGGTCCTCTAGGGGGTCTTCGATTTCCGCCTGTCTCAAAAATACGTTCCCACGACAAACTCTCCACAACATGCGCTCAAAAGTGGGGATACGCTCACGACCGATGACTCCAGCTACAAACCTGCAAAATGAGATCAAATTTAAAAGTGCATTATGTAACTTTTCTGGTGGAGAGTCAATCAGAGTTTCTATGGTTTTATATTATATTTGGTCTTCTGAAATAACAGGACCATGCAGGATTTAAACCAGGTATAAAATAGGGCTTCAACATGATTACATAAGTTCTACACAAGCATTAACCCAAAGGAGGACAAAATGTGACTAAAACAGATGCTCAAAGAGCTTGAGCACCACAGTTTGAGAATCACTGATGTAGCGTGCTTAAATGTTAGCTATAGAGGTCATAGAAATCAAAGGTCACACGGTTTAGTTTCCTTATTTATATCATTCATTACGTTGGCGTTTAGACTTACCCCAGTCTGAGAGGGGCTCTGTTCACCTCACTGGGGTCCATGAGAACGGACGACGTTTCTTCAAGTAAACTGGGGTCCTCCATCTGAAAAACAAATTACATGTACCTTTAAAGGTCATATATTACACAAAATGGACTGAGCTCTAAGCCATGCCAGACTGTTGTTACCTCCTCAACAATATATCTGGAGTTGTGTTTTGTCTTATTAACACATGTTTGAGTAACCCTTTATTATTAGTCCATCTACAGCTCCAAAGCTCAAAATGCTCTGTTCCACCATGTTGTGCCATGAAGCAGATGTTTTCAAGTTTGTTCAGTAGAGATTGGCAATTCCAGGGCTGAAATCATCCAAATGATTCTAGTGAAGGTGTATGGAGTTTAAAAACACAGTGGAGCACATTCTGTATTACCACATGACCTCACAAGGTGTTTTGAGAGTAGAAATAACTATGCAGGATGTATGTGTTAAACATATGTGGATTAGGGTTGTTGCGGTTAGGAAATTTCTCCTGTGGTGTGGTATAGCGGTTCAACAGCGCAGTATGCGGTGATATCGCACCCCCTCCCCCACCCCACACTCCATCCGTCTTAGTTATAATATTTCTATCGGCACTGAAAACTCTCTCTGATGATGCGCTTGTTGCACAGATGCACATGTACCTTATTTGTCACGTGGACATAACGCATGTAGCGTGGGAGAAGTAACATTTGGCTTTGGAACAAGTGTCGCTGCATCTCTCCAGCTCTCACTGTGGCAGCTCGGGTCAGAGTCCTGCACCAGGTCGGGTACCCGCGGACTTAAGAGAGCATGCAGAGCAGGGTGTCCACAAAGTGCAATGATGGCTGCGTTTACCTCTGGAGCTGCTGAGGTTTCGTCTGCAGTCACCCAACGTTTTTTTTTTGCGGGTGCACCTTAGTCCTGGGTTAGTCCTGGGTTAGTCCTGGGTTAGTCCTGGGTTAGTCCTGGGTTAGTCCTGGGTTATCACGGGCACAGGAGGTAATGGGTGGAATGTTAACAGGTCCGGGCAGGTGCGGGTCTCTAAATGGACCCATGCAGGACTCTGTGTCGGGTCACGTTGGTCACGTGCGGTGATCGCGGTGGCCCAACATAACATAACATCTTAATACCGCGGGGATTCATTTTTGCAGTTATTGCGACAGCCCTAATGTGGATGAAACAAAACACAACTCGAGGTCTGTTTGGGATGAGGAAACAACATTATAACATAGATCAGAAACTAAAATAATATGGGCCCTTTAAAATTCAACACAATAAAGGCGCCGTACCTGATTTTTACAGTCTTAAATACTTTAAAAACATAATTAGTCCATTTTAACAGTTTGCAGTGGTCTAAAGATATTCACCATGTGCCTTATATATTCCTAGGATTTAAATTATTCACCACGATTAGTTTATAAGTGCTTTCCACAACTTTTATAGGTCAGAGCAGAGGTCGCCATCAAAGTAATGTCAACAACATCTAGCATGTTAACAGTGCACTTCTTGATTCTCCATCAATTAAACGCTTTATAATTAGTATAAACAGATGCAGACAGAACACAATGGGCTTATTATTTTGACCTCAAGAGCTGCTTATACAATATGTCTGTATTGGGGGAGACAAATTTTGCTCAAATTTATAAAAAGAAAAAATTTAAATAAACTAAAATAAAAAGACATCGGGTACAGGGACTTTAAACTGTTATACTTTTTCCCAGATTTCTGCTATGATTATGGTGGCACTTTATATCAATATTTTGAAGTAAAAAATGTATAATTAATAGATAAGGGTAAATGGGATGCATAATCTTATATAGAAGAATTAATAATTGTTTATATCCTGACAGCCTCAAGCTAAAGTTAAATAATGAAGGGATTTTTTAGGGACTGACTTGGCGTGAAGATGCTTCTGAGGTATTACACAATAGTTAAAGCATTACCAGTAAATACGCAAACTCAGAAATGTGTTTGTAGTGAATGTTTAATAGATAATTATTTTAAAACAGTGAAGAGGAGCCTTTTAGGTCAAGCAGTGAACCTAAACTGTTATGATCTGTGATTGAGGTAAATGATTTTCAGCCCTTTAACCCAAAACAACATGTAATGTGTGAAAATATATGTGACTTAAGTGTTTACAGGCCCTATATTACACAAAATGGATTCTTGTGAGCTTTGAACCATGTTAGAATGCTGTTACCTCATCAAAAAAAATAACCCGGAGTTGTGTTTTGTGTAAGTTCTACTCCACTACATTTAAGATCTGGACTGAAAAGTAAAAAGTACTTTTCTTTTTAGTTTGAGAACTGCTGAAATGGCTGAGACTTATTTTTAGCACATTTAATTTGAGTTTCCGTCCCAACTTTGGGGAAATCATACACACAAAAACAGTTAGAAAAATTAAGAAATCAATTGAGTCATTTAAATTCAGCTAAATTCTTAACCAAAATCACTACATTTCATCCTTTAATTGTTATAAAAGTCTCTGCAAAATACTTTTAACTTTTTACTCTTAAAGTACATTTTTAAACAGGTACTTTAATGCTTTTACTTAAGTAGATTTTTTCATGTGATACATGTTTGCCCCTGTATCTGTACTTTTACTTGTCAGCATTTCTAAAATCTCTCAAAAACTTTCAGCAGAATTCATTGCATCAGGTTTGACCATCTGTGCAACTCAACAGGAAATGAGAGCGGTTTCCTTTTGTGAGTTAACAAAGCAAATGTAATACTGAGCAACTGTTGTTTGAGAATGACTAATGGATGTTTTTAGACATATCATTTGAAGTTATGCATAAAAAGGTAATGTGTCCAAAGGAGCTTAAAATACCTGGATAATGCATCATTTAAAACTGAGGCAGATGCCAGATCAAATGAGCAAACTCAAGCTTTCAGTCTGTATCTTCTAAACCGCAAAAAAATAAATGAGACGGTGTAATATCTACCTACAATATTTGACAAGAGATTTTCATTCAGTTTTAGTCTTTTCACAAACATTACTATTGTTTTGGTCAATGAAAATGCTATGCGAAATTTTTTGTATAACTTTTTATTTACGTATTTTAAAGGCGCTGTACCTTATTTTTACTGTCTAATTTGTTTTCAATGTTTTACAGTGGTCCAAAGTTATTCCTCACTTACTTTATGCATTCCGATCACACTAATTATTCACCAAGATGAGTTTATAAGCACTTTTCATAACTTTCAGAGACCAGAGCGGGCTTTTGCAGTGACGGTAAAGCTAACCACACACTTTCTGATTATGAGACAATAAAATGCTTTCGAATTACATGCAGACAGCTCACAGCGGACTTATTGTGACCTCAAGACCTGCTTATATAGTTTATCTGTAATGGGGCAAGACAAATTCCGTTCAAATGCAAGGAAAAAAATCGCTTACAAGGGCTTTAACTTTAATAAATTGTATTAATGGAACATGTTTAGATATTTCGATATCAGTGATTGAAAAGACCAGACGAGATTTCATATAAATTATCCTCAAAAAATTATTCTGTGTGATTCAGCCCCCAATTTTGAGTCATAGTTTTAGTCATCATGCTTACATTTCATTTACTTTTCATTTAGTTTTAATCAGCACATCTGTGGTGAAGTAAATATTTTAGTCAAAACAATGAACACTGTGACCAAAGTGCTTCTTACCTCATCAAAAAACTGCTGTGTGCGTCTCAGAATGTGTTTGAGCTCCGTCAGCTCCAGAAAGTTCTTCTTCAGAGCCTCCTGGTTTGTGTTGATCTCCTTCAGCTCATTCTCCAGCTTCTCGAATGTGGCCTTTCACAAATAATAAATAAATTAGTGGAAAATTATACCAAAGAATCATATAAGTACCATGAGGAATACTGGTTATATTTAAGAAGAACTTTTTCTATTATTCAGATTTTCACAATTTACTATTTCATTGCTGTTGAGTTTGATCTTAAAGTCATTAGACTGGCTGTCCCTCCCTGTTGTATTCTCACATGTCACCACTAGATGCTGCCTATGTTACTGCTGTCAAACTGGTAATAAAGGCATTTTTAACCAAATAGTTACCTCCAGATCGATCATGTCTCTTGGGAAGGGTACTTCTGGGTTCTCTCCTGTGTCCACAATGTCAATGTTCGCTTTTTTAATTTCTTTTTCCACAAATCCTACAAAAACATAATAATACACAATTTAATCATTCTGTCAGATAATTCTGTTTGATCACAATGTATTAAAAGGAACTGTATGAAGCCTGTGCTCTTGAAATTTGAAAATATGTATTACAATAGGACTTAACCTACAGATATAGACACATAAACATTTTCTGATCAGAGGGAGTTTTTAGGGCTTAGGTTTAAACAAGCTGGAGTTCAGCACTGAAACTGGCAACCCAAATGAGAGACTCATGTGAGGCTCATTCTGCTTTCTGATTTGTTCAAAATAATTATCCTAACATAAAAATTATGACATAAACAACTTGGCCTGCATGTCTAATGTTTTTGTAACAAAGGATTACAGTTGTTATTAGTTAAAGCTACTGAATATTTGATTTGAAAATGTTTGCCTCATATCTGTGAAACAAATAAGGTTGGCCTAGTTCATGGAATTTAAAATAAATATCTTACATACAGCTCTTTAAAACATAAATGATCATAATAATTATAGAAAAGCATTGGCATGTGAAAGTGTTTTTGGCCTTTAGCTTTGGATTAGCATTATCTTGGGTGAGCATTATCTTGTCTTACTCAGTTTACGGTCCATTTCTTCACATCTCCGCACTTCATTGACAAACTTTCGTTGGAAAACGTTTACATCAGGATTTAACTGAGAAGACACAAAAACACCATTCATTTCTATGTTTTGTGAAAATAATGGATTACACGACATGGAAAAGGTCAACAAAGAAAGTGTAACTGCTTTTCACTGCACCAGTAACATAAACTGAGACTAGAGCAATATTTAAACAGCTTCTAATGGTTTCACTACACACCATTATTAATGTTTATAGAAGAGATTTTGTTGTTTACAGAAAACAAATGTTACATAAATAAAAGCAGTCATTGCATTGATACTTTGCACTGACATCGTGCTGGGGGATTTATAAACATTCTATCATTAGAGATGTAGCAGTTACCAGGTGACGCAAGCTCAGATTAAAATCTAACAGACTTTTGACACAGTAGTGCTTTGAGTTAGCATCACACCCCCAGGAAATGTTGATGACGTCAGCTGCAAAGTATCAATTGGTGAAAAGAGCTGGTTAATATTTGCCCAAATACTGAAACTTACTCCAAATTATGCTATTAATATTATTCTAAAAAGCCAAAAAAATAACCAAATGAATTACAAATGACTGGGTCTCTTATATTAAAATTCAATTAAATTCACAGTTCTAAAATTGCAATCATCAGAATTTAAATTTCACTGAGAATAAGCTTGTAACATATATAATATAGAAAAAATATAAAATAAAATATAATATCTCTTGTAGGGAACAAAAATCCTCATAATGTTGCATAGAACAGGAAGCTGAACAGTCCAATGATTCCTCATGTGAGAGAATGACGGATTTTGTGCTCAGCTGAACGCACATGACAAGACTTATGGTATTTCAAACTCTCAGCAATGCTCTGAATACTGCTACTGTTACTACTACTGCTGCTATTGCAAATACTACTGTTACTACTTCTACTACTTCTAATAATTACTATATTGAGTATTAAGTCAAAATAGTAATTTTCGTGACAGACCTAGGTGCATGCTGTAAATGTGCCCTTGGGCAAAACATGTGCTTGCTTAGTATCTGAGTCCTGAATGAACAGTGCAATAGTGATTATATTGTTGGATTTGTTTGGGCCTGCATCTGCAAAGTGATACCAGGAGTCAGTTGGAGTTGTTTTAAACTAAACAAAATGTGTGAACACAAAAGCATTCACACTTATTTGGTACTTGTTTGAGCCCAGTTTAGTCCTGATGTACACTTTTGTTTGGTGCTCTTCTAGTCCTGGTTTAGTCTCAGTTTCTGGGAATCTGTTCAAAGTTCATATTTTAAAACGTATCCAGAAGATTGCAAAAAGAACTGACACTAATAGAAGAATCACATTTCAGAGCATGTTGATCTAAACTACAGGGTTAGAGCTTTTTATACAGAATAAGACAGGATGTTTTGTGGCTTGTGATGATTTTGAAATCAATAACAATGCATTTGTCCATTTTATTTAAAATGATTCCACACCTTTCGTGAAATTGAGGATTATTATGAAAGAGGTTTACTCCTAATTCTCTCATTCCAATTTAATCATTTTAATCACATTTAGACTCCATGTCTATACAAATTAAAGGCAGTTTATATTTTCATTCATAGAATATCCTATTATTTTAAGAAATTGGAAAGAGCTTTGCCTGCTCCTGCCCTGACTTTGATTCAAATCATAATTGATTTATGTTATTTTGAAGTCTTATTGCCCAGCCCTACTATTATCTAACCAAAGCAGGCGTCCGGTGGTTTATAGAGGCGTTAACATTTCAGAGAAAGCAGGGAGTGGTGTGGACTTACATCTCTAAACTGGACCATCCCGATCTCACCCAGCTCACTGACGCAGCAATATGCAGCTTCAGACTGAAGGAAGAGCTGAGCCAGAGTCATCTCTTCACTCCTCAACAGCTCCCCCATGGTGAAACAGGAAGTGTGCACACCCCAAACACTAAACAAATGAATATTGGTCAAATTAGACAAGATTTAAGCATGTACAATTTCCCACACCATGTAAAAAACAGTGACTATCTAAAACCAGCAAAAATATCTACAATATCAACAACTAATTATTTCTATAGTACACAGATTTTTTAAACACAGTTGTGACCAAATAAAGTTGTAACACACATCCACACACTGATCCACCTTGTGATGTCATATGGTAATCTTTTGTGTAATACAGGACCTTTAATCGAACGGCAATTAGATTTAATAATTCCACTGTTTGTGATGAAGTGTCAGGCTTGCATACATGGCTTTTAGGGTTTCAACACTTACTTTTAGTTTTACTTATTTCAATAGGACTCTTGAGCTTTCACTTCATACTTTTTAACTTCATCCCTTCACCACAGTAAGTACACGCTCTCTGTTAGAATGTAATATAACATGTTTACTTCTTCAAATACTACAACTTCTGCCATATGTTATTATAATTAATGCATCATTCAGCTTCAACACCTTAGTCCCTACTCTTCACCTGTAAGAATGTATAATAATCGCTCTACAAGGCAAATAAGCTCTAAATAAACTTAATGACATAGACAAAATAATAGAACCTGCTTTAGAGCTTTCTCCTGCAGTTTGAACACACTCACTAATTACTCCATCACCTGCTTGTTAGTTCATGTGTAAGTGAAAATTGTGTAATTCATGTGACTAAAGGAAAAACCATCCCCCTTAAGCTTGTCTCATGATGACAGAGGAATGCACTTAAAGTTACCCAACTAAAACTACTACTATTATACAAATCTACTGTGAATTCACTTATATTCACTATTTCTCATTCATATATGAAATCCTGGTGGTAACCTCGTTTAAACAACCTATATTATTATATTATTTTTTGATCTATGTTATAATGTGGTTTGCTCATCACAAACATACCTCTAGTTGTGGTCTGTTTCATTCACACATGTTTAACACACAAACCCTGCATATTTAGGCTAAGCTCTTCTTTCAAACAGAAAACACTGGTAATGCTAGGGTAGCCGGATGTCCCTATTTACCAGGACATTCCCAGTCCCAGTTACCCAAGACCAGTGATTTGTCCCAGTTTTATACAAGAAATGTCCTAGGTGTCCCTTTTTTGACCAATTTGATACTTGCTAACAGTAACAAAACACAAATCCAGGTATGTTTATGATGAGTTAACAGCATTATTACATGGCTTAAAGCTCACAAGAGACATTTTTGTGTAATATAGGAAATTAAGAACTACTTGGACTATTACATTGACATTACAAAATAATACTTTGTCAACAAATTAAAAAGTAACTACATATTAAAATTACATATAGGCAATAAATGACACTCCATAGATTCTATGACATATAATTGTGAACAAAACAAAACAAAAATTAAATAAATAAAGGCATTCCCAAGCATAAATATGTATGTTATAGGAATTTGTAGAATGATTTGTAAAAGGTGAACGTCATAGACTGTAAAGAGCAAAGCTTATCTGGGATTATGGGGCAGCATGTGACCTGTCTCGTAGAAAATCTTAAACCTACACGACTCTTACATCAAAGTAAAGAGTTATTAAATTAAGTTAATCAATAATAACATTGCCAACCATGAAATTAGGCTAATTACGTAATCAGATCGCGTGTATTAGCTTGAAAACAAAGCAACCTCAGCTGTCAAATGCGATCAACAAAAATGCAATTGCAATTAACATAATAAATCTATGTAACACAGTGATCAAAGTTAACGTCGTAATAGGTTAAACTTTAAAAAGCATTGGACCGTGAAGAAAAAGGCATTAAATAATAAGGTTAATTAAATAAATGTCGCTGTTACGCTAAATTGCATTTTTTATGCTAATGACAAGCTAACACAACTAGCGCACCTGTTGATAGTCAATGGGAAAAGTCCGCAAACTCCGCTTTCATTTTAGAGATAAATACAGACAAATATATATAGTAATGGAGCTTTTAGAAAACAAAACGCACCAGTGAGCGGTTTCAGTTCCCTCTTAGCAGTTTGTTGTGAAGTGGACTGCTGGAAAAGGAGAAATCGATCTTTCTCCGGAAGACTCAGCTGCCACTGAGCTAACACTCTAGGCATTTCGTTCAGGTGGGTGTGGTTTATAGATTTACGGTGGTAAAATCTAAGATTAAACTAAATAAATGTATTTTAAGAAGTACAAAAGTAAATTGTTGTCAGTCTTGTAAAATAATAAAATTCCTATATTAGATCATGTTCATAACTAGGCTCTATTTAGATGTGTGCATATGACTGAACGGATAGTATCTGCACTAATCTCTTAATTACTAAGATTACTTGTGTTTTTATATATTATTAATGTTGTCATTTTAATCTGTTTCTTATTCTGTGCGCTTAGAATTACTTTACGCTCTACAGATGTTTTTTACAAAACATAATAATAATCCATATTAAGGCATGACACCAAAATAAGATGCTGGTCCTGCTCCTAACCTTTCAACACTCAATATAAAACTAAATAAACTTTAGTATGCTTTTATTTATTTACTTTATAACGACAGTTGTAACAGTAGAAATGCCTGTCCCCTGGTCGAAATGCCTGGGATTTAGAGAGTCCTTATGTCATGTGATTCAAAGCGCGCTTTTGATTGGTCGCTCGCTGTTCCGCTGCTGGTGACGTACAGGGCCATTGATTATTGAAAGCTTTTCCACTCTTCTAATGTGTTCTTTGTTTCTCTGGAGGTTTTACGGCCTGCTCTTTAGACAGATGGAACGTGAATGTACGTGATTCCCGGGAGGTCTAAACCAGGTCTAAACCAGGACAAAACCAGGACTAAACCAGGACTAAACCGGGTCTAAACCAGGTCTAAACCAGGTCTAAACCAGGACTGAACTAGGACAAAACCAGGACTAATCCAGAACTAAACCAGAGCTGAACCAGGAATGAACCAGTTCTGAACCAGGCCTAAACCAGATCTGGATCAGGTCTGAACCAGGTCTAATCCAGGACCAAACCAGGACTAAACCAGGTCTAAACCAGGTCTAAACTGGGACTAAACCAGGTCTAACCCTAAAGGGGGGTCACCAAATCTTTGGTTGATTAGACTTTTTTTTTTTTTTTTTTGGTGGGTTCTGTCTGTGCTCTTCTTCATCACATCTGTCTCTTTCTCTCTTCATCCCCTCATCTTTCGCTCTCTGTCTCTCTGAGAAGGAGAGAGAGACAGTGTGTGTGTTTGGGTGTGTGCGTGCTTGCGTGTGTGTGTGTGAGAGAGATGGAGGATAGAGAGAGAGAGAAGGAGAGAGAGACTGTGTGTGTGTGATTAATGTTGTTTCTATCAAATCGCCAATAATGCGAGTACAACCATTTACATTAACGTTATCAAGCAATTGTTATTTGTAAGATTTTATAAGTATTAGCTCCAAAAAAGGCTAGAAAATATGAACATAATTACTAAAGATGGTAGCCACTGGCTACCATTTCTGTCTGTGGACTTGTGGTTGTTCCCATGACTACTATACCTTTGCCTGACTGGCTAGAAGTTAGATCGATTGCAAATGCCCCTGTATCCCGGATGTTGGCTGGGTCATTTTTCTTCATTATATTTTACAATGCGAATTTAGACATATTTATTCATATCTGAGGGTTTGAAAAATAATACATCCAATATTTTACAGATGATTTTTTTTTATTTTGAAATTTTAAACACATTGAAAACTATACATTGAAATTTCAGTGCTTAAAATTCAGAAGAAAAAAAATCAGATTAGTAAAATAATTCACAAAGACAAATTCAGAGGTGTTTGAAATTCAAAGTCTGAGGGAACAATTTATCTTCCATATGGGTAAAAACAAAAATTAAAATGGTGCACATATTAGTCGAGTCATTCATGGTAGGTCTACTGTGTGCCACTTTGGTTAGGGTTATCAGATGTCCCTATTTACCCGGGACAATCCCAGTTTTGAACCCTGTGTCCCCTGTCACAGCAGGTTTATTCAAAAGCATTGATTTGTCCCAGTTTTATACAAGAAATGTCCCAGGTGTCCCTATTTTGGACCAATTTGATCCCTGCCAACAGTAAAGAGAGACATAAATTGTCATTTGTTTAGGTAAAACACATAAAAAAGCATGCTTTTTTAAAATGTATTTTACGTAAACATGCATAAAATGACCAAAGCACAAAGAAAATGTGACTATACTGTCTCAAATGTTAGTCATGAATGGGCCGAGTCCATGACAAATTTTCCTTAATTATTTACTCATTTCACAATTTTATTATCACCAACCATCACAACCCGCTGTTTTGTGTTTATTCCATTACAGGGGTTTTAATGCTCAAAAATAGGCATTCTTATGATACAAATGAGACACCTCTCCACAGATCTGACCTGTATCTTGAGCTTGTTTCATTTCTGTTTATCTTCACAGGGATAAACGAGTTAAATGCGTTACTGTGGAACGTTCCAGGCAAAACAGTAGCAGCTCTACTGAGACAAGCAAAGTTACACAGTGCACTTTTAAAGAGCCAACTAATTTCACTAAAGCATGTCTAGTTGAGGACCCCCTTGAAAACGAGATGGTGACACATCTCAGTGGGCTTATCCTCCAAACAAATAAATTCAAATTCAAGTTCTTCAAGGGACGATATTAGACTATTTCTTGATCTATGTTATAATGTTTCTTCATCATAAACATACCTGAAGTTGTGTGTTGTCTTTTTCACACATGTTTAACACACAAGCCCTGCATATGTAGTTCTTCTCTCAGACAGAAAATACTGTTCCACCTTGTGATTGCTCCACTATGTTTTTTTATTTTCATCTTCACTAGAATCATTTCATTGATTTCAGTCCTCACCTCTACCGAATTAAAGGGAAAAGGTAGTTGTAACTTGAAAACTACTGCTTCATGACATCATAAGGTGGAACAGACCATTTTGAGCTTCGGTGATGTATAAGGCAGGATCACTCAAACATGTGTAAATGAAACAAAACACAACTTCAGGTATGTTTTTGATGAGGTGACAACATTATAAAATGGCTTACAGCTCACAAGAGTCAATTTTGTGTAATACAGGACCTTTAAACTTTGCGGAAATGTATACATTGACTTCCTGATTGGGCACTGTCAGAATTATTTTATTATCCCATATTTGCTAAATACTTGTGTGATATTCTATGCCTATGAGTTAACCATTTATGTACTACAATTCTTTGATTTATAATGTACCAATCACTTGTATAAAAATGAATAACCTCTGTGTGTTTGACAACTGTGTGCAATGACCTATCGCTCTAGTGAACCTCGAGATGATTCCTCACATGAAGCCAACTCCCACTGTCACACATGCAAGAGTTATGATGGTGTCTGACCATACCTAAAGCACCTCCTGATTGTTAATCATGTTTTATGTGTTTGTACTATGCATAGCTGCACCAGTTTCTTATTATGTCTTTGCTGTTTCCCCTTCCCCTTGAGATTTATCATTCTGTAACTAGGGCCTCCTAATGAAATAAAAAGAGGAGAACGGCCTTGAGGCATCAGAACGTGTGGAGACTGTTGGTTGTGATGCCCACTCTCTGCCCGTTCTCCTTGCGAGTAAAACTGAATTAATCTCTTGTCTTTCTTCTTGTTTATAATCTTTAGATAAACCTAACATTTCGGTGCCGGTGCCCAAAACACCTGAGGACTCCAGCGGACGTTAAGAATCCAGAAAGACCGTGACCACGGCCCTCTGCTACGAGGTGACATACCCTTTCCGGGCTGGTTATCTTCTCGCCGGTTGGAGTCTGACGGTTGACGGGGAACCGAGGGAGAAAGGCAACAGACTGTGAGTAGGCCTTTTGTTAAAAAGCGAGTGACTGGGGGTCATTGCGCGTAGAGAAACCCTATAAATCCTAGGCTCTAATAGGTGAAAGGGCGGCGGAGCCCCACTACTAGATGTAATTTGACAGGCTAGTGAGTAAAAGTCCGTTAATACAGGATGGCGGAGTCCTTCCAGGGTTAAATTCCGTTGGCGCAGAGAAAATAAGAAAATAAATAAAAATTTAAAAACTGAAAATAATAAAAACTGAGTGTGAATGGTTGTGTGAATGGAAGATAATAACCACTAGGTTGTTGTCCTCATACCAATCGATTGAGAAAGGAAATAGTGAGTCTTTGTGGATGTAGAGACAAGATTTCTCCACCTTGACGGGTTGAAGTGAGAAATACCACAAAGATAATTTAATCACTATCTCAATCAAGAAAAGTTAAACCGGTTCTTAGAGACCTCCCCAGGAGTGATAGGACTGGTCCAAATTCTTTTAATATGGGTAACAAACATTCTACAGGGAGACCTAGAGATAGGTTGAAGTGTAAAGATTATAAAGTTCTTGAAAATAATGACAAGAGTAACGTTAAATATTTGGATAAATGGATAACAAAATACAATTTTGAGGGGCGACTTAATGTGTCAGACCTTGAGGCACTGCGCGCACAGATTAAAGAAAGAACCAAAAATAATGAAAGGAAAATGCGTAAAAATGGCATTAGAGAGTTAGACAATTGGTTAGACACAGCCAGACTTAAAGAGAGCCGTCTGAAAAGAAAGCAGGAAAATAAAGAAATTCAATCGAAAGCCGACACAATGCTTTTCCAAAACAAAGACGACTATGAGACAGTTGTTGCTAGTAGACGCCCACTACAACCACCTGCACAACAACTCCCACATGATATGGCTACACCAGTGAAGGACAGCCCTGCTGCAAGCGCTGCATTCCTTCCTCCGCCTTATGCTACGGGGGGGCACGACACTTCAGACAAAACATACCCTGACCTAGAGCCGCTTATGTCTACGCAGGCAGGAGTCTCCACTCGCAGCGCGGCGACGAGACGATATCAGTGGTCCAAAACAATGGGGGGAGGGTTAGAGGAACACTTTCCCACAGCACCTGAGCCAGAGGCCTCCACATCGCAAGGCCAGACAGCGGTCACTAAAACTGACCTCTTCGATATGATAGCTGTGGCCAACCCTCGAGCAGGTGACGAAAACCAGAGTGAGATTATATTTGTATACAGAACTTGGACAGCTGAGGATGTAAAGAAGGCCGTAGAAGGCATTACACCTTACAAAGACGATGTAAATCAGTTCTGTATTGAAATGGAGGCTCTCAGAGACTCCTATAAATTAAATGGTCTTGAGACGCAGCAGGCCTGGATGGCTGCGCTGGGCTTCAATTGGAGCCATGTCAGAGGTGACTGGGATCCCTCAGGAACTGATGGTAAATCCCTAAAACATGATGCTCAGGACTTGACTGTCAGAGTACAAGCCCTGGCAGAGAGAACTAAAACTAGATACAAGAAACTGGCTAATTATGGTGAAATTTCCAGAACCAAACAAAAAGAAGATGAAAAATTTGAGGACTTCAAAATTAGAATGACCAAAGTGTTTAAAACTCACTCGGGATTAGAAGAAAGTGATGATGTGCAGGGTCCGTATCAACAACAGCTCAAAAACGCATTACATGCAGGTGTAACTGAAAGTATTAGACAATGGTTGGATAAACACTTTTATGGAATGGCTAGTTCAACATTAGAAGACTATGTCAATCATGCTATTCATGCGGAGAAAGTTGTGATAGAGAAGAACAAAAAGAAAGATAAAGAAGTAAAGATGTTCCTCAAGAAGGATGGCTCAATTTATTATAAAGGAGGAGCACAGAATAAAAAAGGCAGAGGGGGTTTCCAACATAGAGGGAGAGGTAGACGACGCTATCACAATCAAATTGGCAGTCAGACCCAATATCCTAACACTCAGAGCACAATAGTCTGCTGGTCCTGTGGCAAGTCAGGACATAAGGCTAAGAACTGCAAGAATAACTCGAGGAACACAAATCAGGCTGTGCACGGGGGGGTCCCCAGTGAGTACAAGTTAGTGGATCAAATAGCCTCAGGCTTTGAAAGTTTCCCAATTTTGCCCGCTATATTTCCAGTAACACCAAATAAGAATTAACTACATCCATTATAATGTTCAAAAACTAGGCAACTACACCCAGGCTGGATTTGAGGCAGTGCATGAGCAATAAGCAGCAACTTCTCTGATGGCGTTCCAAAATCGTATCGCATTAGATATGCTCCTCGCTGAGAAATCTGTGTGTGAGATTTTTGGTGACCAGTGCTGCACCTTCATCCCTAACAACACTGCATCTGATGGTAGCTTGACTAGGACCACTGAAGGCCTACGGACCCTTAACAAGCGCCTTAAAGAGCAGTCTGGTGTTGACCAGTCCATGTGGGATGACTGGATGGATGTATTTGGAAAATACAAGTCCACTGTGTCCTCTGCGCTGATCTCCATAGCCATTTTCGCCGGTTTATTGACGTTGTGTGGATGTTGTTGTATTCCCTGCATCCGAGAATTACTTAATAGACTGATCACCACTGCAATTGCCCCATATCCTGACAATAAGGCAGTGCAAGCACATTTGTTGGCTGGTGATGATTCATACATTGGGGACTCCTCCTCCTTGGCTCTCACTTCTATTTAATCATGACGCAGAAATACACGACTAAAATAACATTACCTCCGAGTGTAAATATATAATTGCTCGACTATGAAATCATAACTGAAAATCGAAAGAAGTAGTTATGAATTGATTCTTCTTTAGCAAATATATAATAAACAGGAGGGAAATGTCAGAATAATTTTATTATCCCATATTTGCTAAATACTTGTGTGATATTCTAGGCCTATGAGTTAACCATTTATGTACTACAATTCTTTGATTTATAATGTACCAATCACTTGTATGAAATGAATAACCTCTGTGTGTTTGACAACTGTGTGCAGTGTCCTATCTCTCTAGTGAACCTCGAGATGATTCCTCACATGAAGCCAACTCCCACTGTCACACATGCAAGAGTTATGATGGTGTCTGACCATACCTAAGGCACCTCCTGATTGTTAATCATGTTTTATGTGTTTGTACTATGCATAGCTGCATCAGTTTCTTATTATGTCTTTGCTGTTTCCCCTTCCCCTTGAGAATTATCATTCTGTAACTAGGGCCTCCTAATGAAATAAAAAGAGGAGAGCGGCCTTGAGGCATCAGAACGTGTGGAGACTGTTGGTTGTGATGCCCACTCTCTGCCCGTTCTCCTCGCGAGTAAAACTGAATTAATCTCTTGTCTTTCTTCTTGTTTATAATGTTTAGATAAACCTAACAGGCACAGACAGTAGATATGACATAAGTAGAGGTAGTTCCATAAGTGTTACCTAATATTAACAAGGGCAAACCATGTGTAAATTGCACAATGGATAGCCTATAATTAGACTGACAACATCCTTATTTTGTTTAGATAGTTTAAATTGTTCCTGTGTTTTAGATGGAATTTACAGCGTTGACAACAAAGATATAGAGTCATTCCATTTTACAACTCACCACTGCTTCCTTATCCTGTGTTTTTGTACTTTTATTCCTCATGCTGCAAATTAACTGATATAAACCTATGATAAATATTTACCACCAAAACGAATAATTGGAAAAAGATGAAAACCTGAGCTTTAAGACTTTGCTACAGAAGCCTTTAATACCTTGGCATCTGCTTTATTATGGTAGGGCTAAAGATCAAGTAGTGGAGGTTGTGTTGTTGGCCTATTTCTCAGCACTCGTCTCTATGTAGGCCTAAAAGCTCAGACTGAAGAACTGCCAGAGTTTATTTTAGTTTTTGTCAATATTTTTCTTTGTATCTTAGTCACTGGTTCCTTTTCTTGTTAAATTAACCTTCTGTTCAAAGAAAAGATTTCCAGTGAGTCAGTAAAAAACTATAGGCGTATGGCTACTTGCATTGTAACAGCTATATACTACCCTCTTGTGGGCAACACTTGGTACTACAATATAGAAAACATCGTATTTTATTATTTGTGAGTGGAGTATGGCGTAAATGCGTAATATTTCGGTGTCAATTATAGCCCTAAGTTGCGTAAAGTGCATTTATTATATTTTGATTATAATTCTAGAGCAAAATTCAGTATAATATAACGTGTTATGGTTGGTACATGATATAAAATATAAGTATGCGAATCATTTTCTCCATAAAGGACAACATCATGACATCCAGTCTGGATTTGGCTCTCTCCCCTCATATTTTCTCTCTCTCTCTCTCTCTCTCTCTCTCTCTCTCTCTCTCTCTCTCTCTCTCTGTACCCTCCCTTTCTCTCCCCTCGCTCCCTCCCTCCTTTTTGCAGAAAGGAGGGGTGGGCACATCCCTCTCTCTCCATCCTCCCCTCGTCTCTCCCTCTCTCTCCCCCTCTCTCTTCTCCCTCCCACCCTCTCTCCCTCCCTCTCCCCCCATCTCTCGCTCTGTGTATGTCTCTCTCTCTCTCGCTCTCTCTCGCCCTCCTCCCTCTCCCTTTTTGCAGAAGGGAGAGTTGGGCAGGTCCCTCTCTCTTCTTCCTCACCCCTCTCTCTTCTCCCTCTTTCTCCCTCCCTCTCCTACCTCCCGTTCTCTCTCCCCCTCTCTATCTCTCTCTGTGTCTGTCTCTCTCTCTCTCTCTCTCTCCTCCCTTTTTGCAGAAGGGAGAGGTGTGCAGGTCCCTCTCCCTCCGTTCTCACCCCTCTCCTCCCTCCCTCTCCCTCTCAATCCTACCTCCCTCCCTCTCTCTCCCCCTCTTTCTCTTTTTGCAGATGGGAGGGGTGGGAAGGTGCTCTCTCTCTCTCTCTCTCTCTCTCTCTCTCTCTCTCTCTCTCTCTCTCTCTCTCTCTCTTCTCCCTCCCCCTTTCTCTTTTAGCAGATGGGAGGTGTGGGCATGTCTCTCTCTCTCTCCCCCTCTCTATCCTTTTCTGCAGATGGGAGGAGCTATGAGCAGGTCCCCCTCTCTCTCTCCTTCTCACACACTTTCTCTCCCTCTCCCTTTCTGCAGACGGGAGGGGTGGGCAGGTCCCGCTCTCTCTCTCTCTCTCTCTCTCTCTCCTCACTCCCTCCCTCTCTCTCTCTCTCTCCTGTATGTGGATGGAAAGGCAGAGCTGTGGGTGCGTTTCCACAGAGCACAGAGGCATTTCAGCTGTGAGGCCCCACTCCCTTCAGCTGGCTGGCATCCCGCGACACAGGCAGTAAGTACCATGGAAATACACTCTATCAACTTTAATAATATACACTTTTAAAGCTTTCAATTTGACATATTTACACTGTTTTAAGTACTTCTGATTTGCTGAAATTATTTACAGATTATTATACATATCAACAATGGTTTAAGTTGATTATATCAGGCTTGTTTTATGGTTTTATAAGAATTTTTGTTTGTCTAAAGTTGTTTTGGATGAGTTCTGGAAAAATTGCACTTACAAAAATATATATAAATAATATAACTTAAAATAAATAATGAAAGCTGTATTCATTTTACTTGTTTTAAGATATTTGAGACTTATTTTCATTTGTTTATTTCAAATTGAACAGCTACAGTAAGGAAATAGTGTCACGTAAGTTCTTATTAAACTAGCAGACAATTAAACTTAAAAGTGTAAGAAAAACAGGTCTTACAAAACAAACTTTTATAGTAACTGAATCTATAAATATTCTGAATTTAAAGCTGCACTATTCTGGTGGGTGTACGGTATCTGTCACCTGCTCGTCTCCATGGAAATGTTTTTGCTTCACCTGGAATGTTCCGCTTTATAGCATTGAGTTTAATTGCGTTCATTCAATTCTTGTTAAACATAATATCTTGGAAAGCATGTACTCTCACTGTGAGTGGATGGGGTTGCCTCTCCACAGATCTGATCTCTAACTTAGTCTAGGCGTGGCACCTGCTTGTCTCCATGGAGATAGATAAGGTGATTGCCTTACTGTGGAACATTCCAGGCAAAGAAATATCATCTCCATAGAAACAAAAGGTATAAATAAAAAGTGACGGAAAACACCTCTAAGTTTATTTTTATATATTTATTTTATTTTTATGTTTTTTGTTTTGTTTTGTTTTTTTGTTTTTGTTTTTTTAATGATTTTATTGTTTGTTTATTTGTTTGTTTGTTTGTTTTATTTTATTTATCCTGTGGCAAATAAATGTGTTTAATTGTGGTTAAAGGTGCATTTTCTGGTGGAGGGTCCGCCATTTGCTTTTCTCCATGGAGATGTTGTTGCTTTGTCTTGAATGTTTCACAGTTATGGTATTAAACTTTTCTAGCTTCATGGAGACCAAACCAGACCAAGTTACAGGTCAGATCTGTGGAGAGGCGACCCCGCTCACAGTCAGAATGTCTGTTTTTCTAGGTATTTTTGAGCTATAAACTACCTGTAATTGAGTAAATGTAATGTAGAGCTGTTTAATGTTACACTGTGGACCTTTCCAGCAGAGCAATGACATATCCATAGAAACAAGGAGACAGAGGACCCCAAACCAAAAAGTTACACAGTGCACCTTTAATTTAATATATATATATTTAGTTCAAATGCAAGCTAATGAAACAAGTGTATTTATTTGGATGAAAAAAAGGAGATCCGAGACACTCCAATATGCTTTGCTATGATTTCATTTCATGTCAAGTTTCAAGTTTATTTATTCATTAATTCACTCCACATTATGCTATTTTCTGATCTATATTATAATGTTTCCTCATCACAAACATACCTGTAGTTGTGTTTTGTTTCATTCACGCAAGTGTAACACACAAATCCTGCATATTTAGGCTGAATTCTTCTCTCAGACAGAAAACATTCCACATTGTGATGTCATGTGGTAATACAGGAAGTGCTCCACTATGTTTTTAAACTCCATACACCTTAACGAGAATCATTTGGATAATTTCAGCCCTAGAATTTCCAATCTTTACTGAATTTTGCTGAACTAAAAGGCAGCTGTTAACTTGAAAACTATCACTACATGCCATCACAAGTTGGAACAGAGCATTCTGAGCTTTAAAGATGTTGACAGATTAACAAACTAGGATTACGCAAACATGTGTGAATGAAAAAAATACATCTCCAGGTATGTTTTTCATGAGGTAACAACATTATAACACGACTTAAAGATCACAAGAGTCCATTTTGTGTAATATAGAACCTTAAACTGTGTTGTAATTGTAGCTAATTCAATATTTCTATTTCAATTTCAGGCTCATTGAAACATGGCGGACGCAGGTGTGAAGAAGGTTCAGGAGGATCTTTCCTACGATGACAATGACAGTGACAAGGTCGCTCTGGTCTCTGCTGCTTCCGCCCCAGCAGTTGACGACCACTCAGGGCAAAACTCCAAAGATTCAACCCTTCAGCGCGTCGACGGGGGCAAAACCGAAGCGCAGATGAACGGTCAGATGGTCCTCTCCCTTCTGGACAAGATCATCGGTGTTGTGGATCAAATTCAGCAAACCCAGAATGGTCTGGAGGCGAGGCAGGAGGCCATGGAGAAGTCAGTGTCCACCATTCAAGGAGAGCTGTCCAAACTGTCCAAAAACCAGCTGGGCACCGCGGGGACAGTCAACAAAATGCTGGACAAGGTTCGAAAGGTCAGCGTGAATGTGAAGACGGTGAGGAACAACCTGGAGAAGCAGGCGGGTCAGATCAAGAAGCTGGAGAACAACGAGAACGAGCTGCTCAAGAGACGGAATTCAAAGTGCTCATCTACCAGGTCAGTGGAGACGGGGTTACAACAGAAAAATGTGTCATCTGTAGATATCCATAGAAGGGTCCGATAGCTGCACGGCACTTTGTTTTGATGACGTTTATGGTACCATCAGCTCTTATAGCTCTGATTACTCACATCAGATTTAACTGTTTACATATCAGTAATCGGAT